CAATGATATTCCTAATTGTGGTGGACTGGATTATGCGTCAGACAGTGGGAAACGAGAAGACAAGGATATCCTGTCCTGACCGACGTGAAGAACCTAGAAGACCTGGATTTCGCGCTTGGATGATTCATATTTGATGTCACACAAAATCGAAGACTTACAAGCGAAAACCGACAAACTGGTCGAAGAAGCAGCTGGAGAAGACAGGACTCCAGGTGAACATAGACAAGACGGAGGTTATGAAAATAACCAACCAACAACAACAACAGCAGCAGCAGCATCCAGTGCCAATCACCATCAACGGGAGGGATTTGAAAGAAGTTACTTCATTCACTTATCTAGGGAGCATTGTCTCAACTACAGGCAGGTGGAACCGACGAGGATGTCAAATCGAGAATCGGGAAGGCGAGAAACACATTCATCAACCTGAAACCAATCTGGAAATCTTCGTCACTCAACTCAGCATCAACAACAAAATTCGGATTTTCAATACAAACGTCAAGTCAGTCAGTTCTTCTATACGGATCAGGAACTTGGCGGCGGGTAATAAAGAATATTTCCAACAGCCTGTTGCAGACCTTTATCAACTACAAGAAACCATGGGAACAAACAAAACAAGAACCAATCGCTCAACAAATATGAAGGAGAAAAGTGGAGATGGATTGGACACTCGCTGAGGAGGCCGTTGGGTGACATTGCGCGTCAGGCCAACGCTCGAGTGGAGCCCGATAGGGAAGCGGCGAGTGGGACGTCAGTGCAAGGGTGACATGGAGGAGATCGTGTGAGGAAGAGTTGAAACATACTAACATGGATGCAAGTGAAAAGTACAGCAGAAGACAGAAGCAAGTGGAGGAGATGTGCAGTTGAAGCCCTATGTTCCACTAGGAACCCAAGGGAACAATAATAATGTTACATAACTAAATGAGTTTAATAGCTAGCTAGCTCTTATTGGTGAATTCTAACTAAATAGATTAGCCAGATAGTGGCGTAATCGATTATTACTATTTTGAAACACTAAACCTTAACTATAAATAGACGATTAAATGAGAGAATAAGCGAAACTTTAAAGCTAAGAATGAATCGATATCAATAGAAATAATAGAAATAAAATACCAACTGAAAGGAAAGATAAATAAAAAAAAAAAACAAAACAAGGAAGAGAACAGATGGTGGTCTTCCTTAGGGAGAAATAAAAGTGTACAGACAAAATAAAATTGCAGCGATGATAACAGTAATAGTTGAAATTATTAATAACAGTAATAATAATAATAATTAATAATTATGAGGGAAATATAGACAATTATATCTTGGTTGGAGGAGGATTTTATCACAAGCAGACATCAGTTAGTGAACCATTGGAAAACAACTTGGTAGTACTGTCAGACAGCTGTTTCGTCAGCCTAGTCTGGGACAAACCATTCATCAGTACGCACCCACCACAGGGGGGTTCGAACCCACGACATTCTGGTTAGAAGACTAGCGAGCTCTTAGACAGTTAAGCCACTGCAACCCGATCCAATGGCCAGCCAGCACATGAATTCCAATTTGTGCCAATTCACAATATAGCACTACTGGCACTAATTAATGTCATCGCTGGCTGTTGGTGGTGGCGCGAAATCACGAATCGGTGGAACTTAGAATTCATAGGCCATTGGATCGGGACTCAGTGGATTAACGGTCTACGAGCTCGCTAGTCTTGTGACCAGAAGGCCGTGGGTTCAAACCCCCTGTGGTGGGTGCGTACTGATGAAGGATCAGTCGCAAACTAGGCTGACGAAACAGCTGTCTGGCAGTACTCCTAGATTGTTTTCCATTAGTTCTATAACTGACATCAGCTCATGATGAAATCCTTTAACCAATCAAACAAAATCCCTACAAAAAACCAATATTACTCGAAACAGAATTGTCAACTCAATCTTTAGTTACTGCGACTCACTATCTTAGTCAATTGATGTCTTCATTCTTGAAAGGAGGCATATTAAATTCAATAAATGAACATCTTCTAAAGTAAGTCAAAAGCGAACTGATGACTCGTTTACTTCCCATATAGTTACTTAGGTTATTTGAAATCTTCCATTCATGCATACAATAAAGTATCTGTCTGTTTGTCTGTTTACAAAATAGAACTTTGCACCGATGTGCAGAAGTTCGAGATGACATATTTCCTCTTCATAGCACACAAAGCAAGAGAAGAAAGTAGAAGAAATGCAAAATAGAGACAGTAAACAGGGATATGAGACAAAAAGAATAGTAATGTTGAAGAACAATATAGTTTCATTGGGTATTATAAGTCATAAGAAGTGGATGAATCTGCGCCAACCGTTGACAATGACGATTTTGAGCCATATCACCAATTTTCTTCTGCTTTCATTGGTGTTTACCGTCCCAAGGACCCCAACCAGTCAGGAAGTCTATACCTCCCTTCACACGTGACTGGGTGGCTTAAACTAACTGTTGTGGATTTCATTGACTGATGAAGCCATGCTTTGGTTTGACCACCACTGGCTAACTCTTTTCCAACCTGACTCTATGTCAGCTAACATTACCCGTTGGTCGAGGAAGGAGATGGCTAGGCACACGTAACACATGTCCTAACCGTCTTAATCGATGTAGCTTCCCAACCTCGTCGATTGATTTCCCCTGCCTCCTTACCTAGCACTCACTCGACCGATGCCTTACCTGAATATTGCTCACCCTATTATACCATCTAACACGGCAGGTACAAAGCAGGCACCTATGATTAAAGACAGCTAGCCAGGCTTTTCATGTCTTCCACTCTCAATGGCTTCCATGTCTCACCGACAGCCATAAAAGAGGACGGAGTGGACTGCTGAGCAGTACACCCGCCCTTTGGTGGAGAGCCAATATATAGTATATATACAATACAGTAGTTCACTAAGCATAATGACTAACACAGATACTACTTACTATGGCGTTTTTCCGTTTTTAATGTTACTGGTGAAATGTTCTGTTCCCTAAGATAATAAGTATCGACAAGTCTTTCAAGTCTCCGTAATGGTAGAGTTTTGTTTCACTTGGTGAGGTTGCTAACGTCACGACATGTCAATCTGAGACCGAGCACTTCGGTTTAATCAGTTGACAGGAAAACCTGAAATTCAATAAAATAATTAATATGACCCGTTGTTGCACAAGAGGCTGTGGCTCTCGTGGCCCAAGTGGTCTAGTGGATAACACTTTGGCTTTTGAAACTATGGGTACTGGGTTCGAGCCTCGGTGGTGGGAACATCATCACTCACTCACTCACTGGGGAATGCAGGTAAATCCTCCCGATTGACGAGTTCCATATGGGACGAAATGTGCGTTATCCTGGATTCCATTGCTAGTCACTATCCTCCAATTAACTTCTAACGTTACATTTAATATATATTTGTGAGCTAAATTAAAAATATTGTGGTCTATCCAGACAACAAAGACAAATGTATACTTCAAACCGTTGCTATAGTTTCAATGCATTGTTTATTATGAATCAATTATTCTGTTAAGCAGACCGTTAAATTGTGTGTCTATCATATTCCCACCGCCACACGCACACACACACACATACACCAGTTTCACTTTGTCTTTGTTACACTAATTTATCATAAATAGATGAAATAAACCAAATCCATTGTGCGTTCAGATGAACTTGTCTATTTATAAGTAAACTCCTTTGAAAACCCAACACAGACAAAGTTCAACAATAGTGTCTCAGGTGTGCAAACGCTCCAATGACCTTGAACGCATGCTAGTCGTTGGCTAACGGCACCTCTAATTAGCATAGCTGAAATATCAATGCTATTCACAAAACACACGCCAGTGATTGCACTGGCTAGCTCGTGTGAGTCGCACTATATCGTGAATTAACAGAAGTTAGTATTAATGAACTGGCCATTGGATCGAGTCCCAGTGGCTTAATGGTCTACGAGCTCGCTAGTCTTGTAACCAGAAGGTCGTGGTTTCAACCCCCTCTGTAGTGGGTGCGTACTGCTGAAGGGTTAGTCCCAGACTAGGCTGACGAAACAGCTGGCTGTCCAGTACTCCCTCCCTACCTGGGGGTTTTCCAATGGTTCCCTAACTGATGTCAGCTCATGATGGAATCCTTTAACCAATCAACCAAATCCCTACAAACCAATACTTGGATTTTATTTATATTTTGAATAAATTAGATGCAATATTATGACAAATGCTGAGAATTCCATGTTGTATTTAAGTACTATTTTTGGAATAAAGTAGATTATTATTTTCAATAATTGGTTTGTAAGGATTAAATTTGTGTGTTTACGAGTTGATCATGGATTGATATCACAGTTAGAGAACCAGCTGTTTCGTCAACCTATTTTGGGAATCATCGGCAGTACGCACGCACTCCACAACAGGGAGTTCGAACCCAGGACCTTCCGGTTACAAGGCCAGCAAGCTCGTATACCATTCGGCCCCTGGGACCCTCCGAACTCAATGGCAAGCCCATGAATTCTAACTTCCACCAATTCGTGATTTAGCGCAACTGGCACCAACCAATGTCATTGGTGGGACATCCATCCTCACACTTGACTGGATGGATTTCACTGGTCACGACTTCTCACTAGAACCCCAATGAAGTTCATCCAGTCAAGCGTGAGGAGGATGGATGGATGACACTAATAGGTGGTCACGCTAAATCACGACTTAGCAGTAGTTAGAATTCATGGGCCGGTCATTGAGGAATCTGGTCCCAGTGGTTGAATGGAATACGAATTGCTGACCTTGACACTGAAAGGTCCTGGGTTCGAACCCTCTGTTGTGGAGTGCGCACTGCCAATGATCCCCAAACCAGGCTGATGGAACTGCTGTCCAGTACTCTCTGGCTTTCAACAGATTATTACTATTATTATTATGGAAGCGACTTTTTCTGTCCAAATGAAATCAATCATAAACTTCAAAATAATTTTAAACTTTGATGAAATGTCATCAAGTCAATGTAGCATGTCAAAGAAGATACAGTAATATTGATCAAGAGAACTTACCGATGAACCAACAAATTTAACATAACATTCAACAGCTTTTGTTGCCATTGTATTCGATCGAAACGCCATTGAGTCATTTTCTAAAAAGTCAAAAAAAGAAACATATTAGACTGATAAGTGAACAGGTTTGTGTGTGTGTAAATGGAGAATACATTCAGAAGTCAGCAAATAATGCTCTTGTCCACACCAAGTAAAATATTAAGTCACATCATCCTGGAGAGAATAAAACATATACTGGATGCAGTACTCCACACCCCATAGAACAGGCTGGATTCAGGAAAGGCAAATCATGTGTTGAACAAATTGCAACTATCAGCATTGTCGACGAACGAGGCATTGAATGACAGTCAAACCTGTACCTAGAACACAGACACACTTTTAGGCGGCCAACAATTGCCATATTTCTTGACATGAAGGCAGCCTTCGACTCCGTGGATCGAAAAGTACTATGGCAATGTTTGGCTGTGAAGGGAGTGCCAAGAAAGTACATTGCACTAATCAAGGCACTCTACTGAAACTCACGTAGCCATGTAAGGGCTTATGGGGAATTGTCATCTGAATTGATAACAACCAGTGGTCTCCGGCAGGGATGTCCACTTTCCCCATTCCTGTTTAACTTCATCATAGATATGCTAATGGAAGTATCCTTAACTGAACTTAACGACTTAGGAATCGACTTGTTATCAGGGAATATCTTGAATATGCAGATGACATAGTCCTGTTAGGGGAGGATGCTGACAAAATAGAGCAGAGTCTTCTGAACATCTTCAGCAGTAATCTTCGTATGTTTGGCATGCGATTCACCCCTGTAAAATGTAAGATGCTGCTACAGGACTGACTGGACTACGTCAACTCCTACCTTAGTGATAGGGAGTGAAGTGATAGAACATGTTGACCACTTCACCTATTTGGGAAGTTGTATCAGCACCAACGCATTGATTGGCGACGAAATATCAGCACGGATCCAAAAAGCTCGAGCTGCTTTCGTTAACTTATACCATCTCTGGTGTAGGCATGACATCCGACTATCAACCAAGGGACGTGTTTACTGCTCAACAGTTCGCTCCGTCCTTCTCTATGTTGATGAAACGTGGCCATTGAGAGCTGAAGACATGAAAAGGTTGACTGTTTTTGATCAAAGATGTTTACGATCTCTTTCTCACGTTAGGTGGAATAATAAGGTAAGTAATGTTGACGTTAGGCGTAGAGAGTTGGTTGGGTAAAGGGGGGAAATCAATCGAAGAGGCTATAAAGTTACATAGATTGAGATGGCTAGGTCATGTGCTACGCATGCCTAGCCATCGCCTCCTACGACGGACGGGCATTACTAGCTGATATAGGTGTTGTGGGTTGGAAAAGAGTAAGTGGTGGCCAAACAAAAACATGGCCTCATCAATCCATGAAATCCTTGACAGTTAAACTGAGTCAGGTAGGGAGATACAGACTTCCAGGTCGGGGCCTGCCCTCGAGACTCTAAGAATCAATGGCTGGAGACACCAGGTGACATGGCTCAAAATCGTTGTCAATGGCTTACGAAGATCTATTCAGTCTCTGTAATCTTTCATATTCCTTTCTACCATTAGTCATTCTGTTCCACTCTTATACTTGTCAAAACTCTATTGATTCTCTTGACTCATCTTCTTGTCTTGTCTACCTTTGTGTGCTATTTGGATCGTGGTAACTCGAACTGCTGCACTTCGGTGCTAAGTTCTATGTTGAATCCAGCCAGCCAGCTTAACTTCATCGACTTTTGAGAAGACCTTCGACAGACAGCGTTAACCGAGAAGTAAATTTGGAAACTACCATAAGATAAGTGAAGGAAGTAACCTCTTTCAAATCTCTCCCTTTGATGATGATTAGTGCTGGTTGTTGTTGTTGTTGCTGTTGCTGATGTGCGCAGGTTATCTTCATCACCTCCGTCTTCTTGATATCCACCTAGAGTCCTGTCTTAGCCGTCTGTTTCTTCAGCGTTGATTTGTTGATTTTCGTCTACCTGCAAGTCTTTGAGTTTGTGTGACATTCAAAATAAATCATCCACTCACGAAATCCAGATCTTCTAGAGTCATCTTATATCGGTGGTCCAGCGTATTCCTCACTCGTCACTTCCAAGCACAGTCTGACGCATAATCCAGTTCACCACAATTAAGAATATCATCGGTGATAATAGGCAGCCTGCCTTCTCTGACTCCTGTACTCACTTCGAATGCCTCGCTGAGTGAGTTTTCCATTGTGGATCACCTGACACATGGCAGGCATTGTCATATAGCCAGCCAGCTGTTGAATGAGGTTGATAAAGACTTGGTCACTGCACGCCGTAGTGTTTAAGTAGTTTCCAAATTACTTCTGAGTGAGCAGTATCTGTCCGAGACCTTTTCAAAGTCGAGGAAGTTGAGGTAGAGAGAGGTTTGGCTGTTTAACATTCCTCATCTAGAGCGAAACTCTTGTTCAGTACTCTTCAGTTCCTAATATCTTTCAGGCTTTTCTTCCTATTCCTTGCATTCTGAGTAGAACATAGGGCTTTAAGGCTGAACTTTTAAGTTTAAGTGACATCGCTAGCCACACACAATCAAGCTCCTCTCTTTTCCAGATTTACTCTACTCGAGTTTGGTCGGGAATCAAACCAAAACCACTGTAGCATTTAAACCAAAAAGTACCAGAGATTTTCAAGTATTGGTTTGTAGGGATTTGGTTGATTGGTTACAGGATTTCATCATGAGCTGACATTGGTTAGAGAACCATTGGGAAGCCACCTGGGAGTACTGAACAGCTGTTTCGCCTTAGTTTAGGACTCTTCATCAGTACGCACCCACCACAGGGGTTCGAACCCAGGACCTTCTGGTTACAAGGCGAACTCGCATACCATTAAGCCACTGGGACCCGATCCATTGGCCAGCCCATGAATTCTAACTTCTGCCAATTCACGATATAGCGCAACAGTTAGCCAATGTCTTCGGCGAGTATTTGTCCTCACACCCGACCACCTGCTGCACCCTACTGGTCATGACTTCCCACTGGAACCCCAGGTAACTACCCTACCTGAATAGGGCCAGTCACCAGTGAGCATCTCATTGATATTCAAGTATTGGTTTGTAGGGATTTGGTTGATTGATTGGTTACAGGATTTCATCATGAGCTGACACATTGGTTAGAGAAGAACCATTGGAAAACCAGCCAGGGAGTACTGGACAGCTGTTCTCTAACCAATGTCAGCTCATGATGAAATCCTGTTACCAGAGATCTGTTTCTTCCAATGACCACCACAACCGATAGGAATCGAACCTACAGCCTTCAGGCTACGCAGACCACCGCGCTTGTTAAGAATTCTAATCACTGGGAATTGATTTTCGGTGTAGTACGACACAGTTTAAACTTTATGCGCTTGATTTGACATCATAAATAACAAGAAGAGATAATTTACAAAATATTTCACATCAGTTTGTATTCTTTCTCCCTTCATCACCTTCTTTTCGAATGCCTAAAGAATCAATACTCTACTGACACTGTGTGCGTGTGTGTGTGAAGATGTAAGGGAAAACGCTGAAAGTATTTTTCAGATGCATGGAAAAAAAGAACTGGCTTTCTCTTGATGTAAGATATACACATACGTATATATATAAGCGGACATAAATCTCATGCGTTTATCTGTCATGTGTATACACATGTATTAAATTACAAAATGCGTGTTCACTTCTGACAACATAACTAAACACTATGATCGAGTAAAAATGTGTAAAATGGTGTAAACCAACCAGAGCAGTTTAAGAGAGTGAGAGTGAAAGACAAGGAGGAGGTAGAAGGGAGAGAGGGTAGGGGAGAGAGGTGTAGAGTGCAAAAATGAAACAGGCGATACACTACAAAGTATTAACAACAACACCACCACCACCACCACCCCCACTACCAAAAAACATGAATTATGCAATTCCAGGGATCAAGTTTCACTATAGTGTGTGTTATTCTCTACCTATATAATATATTATATTTAGGTACATAAATAGACAAACACAGAATACATGTATTATATTATGTAATTATAGATTATTAACCTTTCTTGTGGCTTACTTATTTAGGTTTCAGATAAATGATAATAATTCATGTGAATGAATGAATTCACATAGAATCTCTTCAGGTGATTTCACCAGTTATCTAATCTCCATAGCATACTTCCTCTATTTTTTTTGTACACCTTTCTAACTAAGTGTGTTGGTTAGCTCTTCAAGTTTGATTGGACAGCTGTTCCGTCCTTGTTGTTGGGACTCCTCTACATTAATACGCACCTATGACTTCCACCAGAGGCTTTTCTTTGTCTTATTATAATAACATTATTATCATTATTCCATTGGGCCTCAACAGCACATCTATGTTTCGTCCTGTTTTCTGTGGTCCTCTTCATCTGGTGTCACGATTGCCCATAATCTCTCACCTCCTTCTCCTGCTCCTCCTTGCCACACATGATCTCCTCCATGTAACCTTCAATCTCAGCACGAATACAGAGGGCTAGTTTCGCATATGCCAGTTTACGCCGTCTCTCGCTTAGTAGACGTGATATCCGACTATCGACCAAAGGGCGTGTGTACTGCTCATCAGTCCGCTCCGTCCTCCTTTATGGCTGTGAGACGTGGCCATTGAGAGCAGAAGACATGAAAAGATTAGCTGTCTTTGATCATAGGTGTCTGCATTATATCTCCCGTGTGAAGTGGTATAATAAGGTGAGCAATATTGAGGTTAGGCGTCGAGTGCTAGGTACCGAGGGGAAATCAATTGACGAGGCTGTGAAGCTACATCTACTGAGATTGTTAGGACATGTGTTACGCATGCATCCCTAGCCATCGCTTTCCTCAACTGACGGACAATGTTAGCTGACCGGCATAGGGTCAGGCTGGAAAAGAGCTAGCGGCGGTCAAACCAAAACATGTCTTTATCAGTCAATGAAATCCACAACAGTTAGTCTAAGCCACGTAGGAAGGTGTAGACTTCCTGACTGGTTGGGGTCCTCGGGACGGTAAAAACCATTGAAGGTCGGAAACAATTGGTGACATGGCTCAAAATCGTTCTCAATGGCCGGCACAGTTAGATGCATCCACTCCTTGTGACTTATAATATCCAATAAAACTATATTGTTCTTCGTTATTACTATTCCTTTGTCTCACACCTCTGTTTACTGTCTATATTATGCATTTCTTCTACTTTCTTCTCATGCTTTGTGTGCTACATGGAGGGAGTGTGGCGACTTGAACTGCCGCACATATGTGCAAAGTTCTATGTCGAAAACAGACAGACAGACAACCCTCGCATTGACGACCCAATCGTGGTTTCCCACCCTTCGGGTTCCACTCGACCGTTTCCGCAGTGGCGTATGCCCGATCCATCTCCATTTTCTCCTACATATTGTTGTTGAACAACAGGTGTTCTTGGTTGGTTTGTTCCCAGACAGAGTTTCTTGGTGATAATTTATTCTGGCCGGCCGGCCGGCTGGCTGGCCATTTGATCTTCAGTATGGAGCCAGCCAGTGAAGTGGACAGCTGTTGATACAAGTCTACAGTAGCGCCTGTTGGAAATGCTTTACGTGACTCGCCCGTCAAGTGACCGACTTCACATTTTTGTGTTGAACAGAATCCGAATCTTGTTCTTTATGCTGGCTGAGTCGGAGTGCAGAAGATTTCCAAACTGGTTTCAGGTTGATGAAGGGGTGTCTTGCATTGGCGATTCTAGTTTTGACATCCTTATCGTTTCCGCCCTAAGTTGACACGATGCTGCCTGGTGAGATAAGTGAAGGAACTAACCTCTTTCGAATTTCTTCCATTGGCAGTGATTGGTGCTTATTGTTGCTAATATATGTGTAAAACTTGAGCACTGTGGTAGTAAGTAATTCCATATTAGTTTGTTTATTAGATGTATCACACAGTCAGTGAAACAGTATTATTTACTGGATGACGTTTCGAACAAAATTTATTGTTATTCAAGTGTTGGTTTGTAGGGATTTGATTGCTTACAGGATTTTCATCATGAGCTGACATTAGTTAGAGAACCATTGGAAAACCTGACAGTGCTGAACAGCTGTTTCGCTTTAGTTTGGGACTCTTCAGCCTAATGGTATACGAGTTCGCCTTGTAACCAAAAGGTCCTGGGATCGAATTTCGGTGGGTACGTACTGATGAAGAGTCCCAAACTAGGACGAATAAGCTGTGCAGTACTCACAGGTTTTCTAATGGTTCTCTAACTAATGTTGGCTCATGATGAAAATCCTGTAAAATTTATTGTTCATAATCACATCAATTGTAATCACACAACTTTGAAACTTGAGTTTTGAGTTGTTGCTTGGTTACTTTCAATTATTATCCTATAGGGGTTTATTCGTTCTGCATAACATCATATTGAACGGTTATTTGGGTACGTTGAATCCAGTTATTATTATTGTTATTAATTCCTTCACGTTCCCAGTGGAACATAGGGCTTCGAGCTAGAGGCTTGAAGTTTCGATAGCAGTGTTTGTTTTTAAAGGATGGGGTTGCTAGCCTCATGCCCCCAACCTTATCTCTTTACTAGCTTTTTTTATTTCTGGCTTAATGAGGTAAAGGAGTGCGTCGGTGGCCGGGGATCGAACCCCAGACTATGTACATGGTCGGCGACCGTCTTAATCGTTGTGCCACTGACGCGTTGAATACAGTATTATTCCATTTATGTGACAGTGAGTGACGTCATTATGCTAAGTGTGGCGTCATATGAAAACAAACTCAAGAGAATGTTATTTCGATTGTGGATAGTGACTAGCAGTGTGTAATTCAGGACGCACGTTTCGCGCCTATTCAGCACTCATCATCTGGATGTACCTGAGATTCCCACTCATACGCAAACCCTGTTTAGCCATCGTTTCAAACGCCAAAGCACACTATCCACTAGACTTCCAGTCACCGTCAGCCAGAATATCCCCCACGTTAATCCTCACAAATCGTCGAAGCATTCGTACTAAAAGCCAACATGTTAACACAGAGACTGGTCATTTCTATCCGCCACAATCGCCAAACAAGAAATACACATTAATTCCAAAAAAATAACGAAAATCAAAAGGGGGGGTAAAAAGGGATTCAATAAAAGGCGACTCACCGAGATTAGAAACTTCTCGTACAACAAGATTAGTTAGAAAATCGATCAGTGTATTATTGTGTTCATGTAAACAAACCAGAGAATTGGCAATCTCTTCTTTGAATTTTACAGATAATAAAGATTCTAACCATTTCGTAAGTAATAAACTATGACTCAATATAAGCTGAAAAATAATAAAATAAATAAACACAGGCATTAAAAAGGTTAAATGTTTGTGAAGGATATAATTCAAGGTGAAATTCTCCACATGAACTACAATACGCGGTGATACGCGAAGTAAACAAAACCCTCAGACATCTTAATTATTATTATTGTTTCCTTTAATTCCTAGAGGAACAAAGGGCTTCAGCCATGCGTCTCCATTGAGTTCCCTTCTCTGCTAGAGTCTTCACCGGACTACAAGTCTGCCCACACGTTTTCATCTCCTCTTCACATGACCTCCTCCAAATCACTCTTGCACTGACGACCAACTCACCGCTTCCCTTTCGGGTTCCACTCGAGCGATGGCCTGTCTAGTGATGTCACTTGATGGTTTCCTCAGAGTATGACCAGCCAATCCATCTCCATTTCCTCCTACCTATTTGTTTCACAATCGGTTCCTGCTGGGTTGGTTCGCTCATTGCCAGAGATCTCTGTTGCTGATCTTTTCTGGCCGGCCATCTGATCTTGAGTATTGAGCGAAGACAACTAGCTGTTAATGAAGGTTTGTAGTTTGTTTGACATGCTCTATATGACGCGCAGTGCCAGTCTCTGATCCGTAAATGTCAGGATCACCTAAGACTGAATAGTAGTTATAAGTCTATAACCATAGCGTGCTCAGGATAAGACACCGTGTCAGCGCAGAATAATGCGTAGTAATAACCTGGTCACCTCCTCTAGCTTAGATTTACCAAAAAAGGATCGTGCACAGTAACAGTCACCTAATGCTGACATTAGCATTCAGCAAACTACACAACAACCACGCTTGTCAATGGAACTAGGAACTGATTTAGATACCAGTACCCCTGTAAATAACGTCTCACCGAAAGATGTTAAAATAGGTAGAACTGCTGCAAGCTGTTCTAAGAAATTCTTATCCAAACGTGGTAACCTCACCACGATGAACAAATTCCGCCGCGTTGAGACTAATGATGGGGAAGAATACTTTGTATTCAATAAGCTTGCTGAGAGTAAGACTGTCAACAAACCCTCACCTGTTACGAAAAACTCCTCTCGAAACACAATTATATCTGGAGGTTTTCAGCATGCCCCACCTTATAGAAAGTCAGGGAAGCTTGGATGCGTAAACAAAAAACAACACTACGGAGTTCATCCGAAATGCAAGGAATAAGGAAACAAAAAAAAGATGACACATATCAGAAAAACAACTAACTGTTCTCAGCGGCCAATAATTGCACAACGGTAGTATTCCAAGTGATTGATAACGTGCACGAATACGTAGTTGGGGTAAATGTCGTTGATCTGCAGCAACTCCAGTACTGCCACAAGTGTTAGTATTATTATTATTAATACTATTATTACTACTACTACTATATAATATTGTTGTTGTTGCTGCTGATTGTTCTACTAGAATTCAATCTACCAGCAGCAGACGGATGATTATTCTCCGTGTAAATCATTGTACCAAGGTGATTGAGAAAATTATCTTGACTTGAAGTACTCTCAACTGTTGGCGGTTGTAGTGTTAGCCAAGTTTGAATATCTGTCCGACTGGTTATTTCAGATATGGGAATAGTAATATAGCCTGAAAATAAGTGGAAATAGGTATCAGTAATACTGATAAATATTCAGATAGAAGGTTTGTAAAGGTTTGTATAATATGCATAAATATAACACATAAACACACAATATCAGATAAATTAAGCAAGAATTTATGAATTTATAAGTTCCACAGTGAGTCAAGATAGCTACAGGGGCTCCAACTATTTCTTCTACACGCAGAGCTCCTTGTGTTTTAGGCGAATTGCATTAGCCTATGTTTTTTTTTTAGAGTATTTGGTACCTACAGGCGTTTGATAATTTATGTAGTACTCAATGGATGATAAAGATCGATCGATAAATACTGACTTTTTGGCCTGTGTTTGGACCAGGTGATCTAATATCGAACTTGTTGATGGCTTTTACACTAGAACCACTGTCCCCATTTCTATTCAACTTCATCCTGGATTTACAAATGGACTTAACCCTAACTGCTGACTTCAGCGACTCAGGGATTGACTTGTTACCACCAGGGAATAATCTCGTTGACTTAGAATGTGCAGATGATATAGTCCTTCTAGGTGAAGATGCTGACAAAATACAGCAGAGTCTTCTGAACACATTGACAGGTAGAAATCTTCGAATGTTTGGCATGCTACTCTCTCCCGTCAAATGTAAGATGATGAGGCTACAGGATTGGACTACATCAACTCACTCCTTCCTAGCTTAAAGATTAGTAGGAGTGAAGTGAGTGGTTGACCACTTCACTTGTTATTTGGAAAGTTGTATCAGCCAACACGTCAGCGAGGTTGATCGCTGACAAAATCTCAGCACGGATACAGAAGGCTTGTTTGGCATTTATCAGCCAACTTACGCCATCTCTGACAAAGTAGACGTGATATCGATTGATTGATATCCTCTCCTTACCTAGCACCTCGCTGTGAAGCCACCTCGACTGAGATGGTTAGGAAATATGTTACGTATTCCTAGTCATCGCCTTCCTCGACTGATGGGCAACGTTAGCTGACATAGGGTCAGGTTGGAAAAGAGCTAGTATGGCGGTCAAACCAAAACATGGCTTCATCAGGCAATGAAATCAACAACAGTTAGTTTAAGCCAGCCAGCCACTTAGGGAAGTGTAGACGTCCTGACTAGTTGGAGTCTTCGGGACGGTAAATCCAATACAGGCTGGAGACAATTGATGAAATGGCTCAAAGTGATCGTTCTCAATGTCTGGTGCAGATGCATCTACTCCTTGTGACTTGTGATATCCAATGAAACTATATTGTTCTTCGATATTACTATTCTTTATGCCTCATATCTCTATTTACTGTCTCAATTTTGCATTTCTTTTTACTTTCTTCTCTTGCTTTGTGTGCTACAATGATGGAGTGTGGCGACTTGAACTGCCGCACATCGGTGCAAAGTTCTATTTTGAATACAGACAGACAGACGTGATATTCGGTTGGCTGTCGATCAAAGGGCGTGTGTACTGCTCAGCGCAACAGTCCGCTCCGTCCTCCTTTATGGCTGTGAGTGAGACATGGCAGCATTGAAAGTGGAAGACATGAAAAGGCCAGCTAGCTGTCTTTGATCACAGGTGTCTGTGTTCTGTCTGCTGTGTGAAGTGGTATAGTAGGGTGAGCAATATTGAGGTTAGACGTCGAGTGATAGGTAGCTGTGAGGGGAAATCAATCGACGAGACTGTGAAGCTACACCGATTGAGATGGTTACGATATGTGTTACACATGGCTGCCTAGACATTGCCTTCCTCGACCGACGGGCAATGTTGCCTGACATAGAATGGATCAGGTTGGAGGAGAGTTAACCAGTGGTGGTCAAACCAAAACATGGCTTCATCAGTCAATGAAATCTACAGCAGTTAGTTTTAGCCAGCCAAGCAGTTACGTAGGGTGGTGTAGACTGCTTCTTGTCGGGGTCTTCAGGATTGTAAAAACCGATGAAGACTGTAGACAATTGGTTGTATGGCTCAAAATCGTTCTCAATAGCTGGCACAGTTAGATGCATCAATACTCCTTGTGACTTTTAATACCCAATAATTATGTGATAGTGACATCATTATGCTAAGTGTGGAGTCACATGAAAACAAAATAAAGAGAATAATATCCAGTACACATTTGATCTCAATGTTCATAAAAATGTTTATGTGAACTTGTAGT